GATTTATTTACCCACAATTATATGAGTAGAACTGACGTTTCAAATGAATTTCAAATAGCTTCGTAGCAATGTGCCGGAATGGTTGATGTATTGAGTTTACACATTGCACTGTCAGGGCTCGACACTACCGCTCTAAGTGCTGATAAGACCTAGGCAAGGCCGAAAGTGCAGTCCACTCTGGATCATAACAACTTTTCGAAAAGCAAGGCTGTGCGAAATTCAATAGAAACATTAACTCTACTCATCTCATTGTGGAAAATTCTACTACCAGTGCTTCGTCAACTTTAACAAAATCAAATGAATACATGTAATATTAGGTAGATACTCCTTGACGTAAAGGGAAGCAATAGCACAACCTACTCGGCAGAAAGTTGGCCAAAGAATTGACTTCACTTATCTCTTTGACGAGTTGTAGTTGTAGTCATTTGGCTAGTTCTAGTGGTATATCAACCTCGGAACATATGAGTATGTCTGTCTCTGTATGTGTATGTGCCTGCACGTGTTCGTATATGCACGAAGCTGGCAGTGATGGCTGAAATTAATTAGGACAGCAAAGTAACGTTCGCTCTCGGCCATCAAGGTTTGATGACAATCATCACCCCCTCTCTGTATATATTTTTACCATCAATCTGATTGCGAAAGGTTGGACTGTTATGTTGATGAGTTTTTTTGTCTTCACGTGGCAAAAATTACAGAGCAGTGATCCTGATTAGAACCAAAACAGGAAAATACTATGAGTTGTATTCACCTTATTTCGTTTAAGGCGATGAGGGACTGGTAGTAGAATTTTCCCACATAATGATATGACGTTTCCATTGAATTTCACATAGCCTTGCTTTCCCCAAAGGTGTTCTTATCCAGAGTGAACTACGGTTTCTACCTCGCCGAGGTCTTATAAACACCCCAAGCCGGAGTCGAACCGTCACAGTGCAGAACGTGAGCTTGAAACGTTAATCACTCAGCAACATTGCCATGAGTGCCCTCGGGTCACAGGGCTGATGTGAATTTAATGTAACTGATTTACTGGTAGTCTCTAAACGCTACTTATATAGGAAAAATAAGTAATGTAGTCGATTGTTATAGCAAAAATTTGTTTCTTCATAGACAAATCCCACTAAAGAATGTGATATAGGAAAAAGCCTGGCCTTAACATTCAAATAAAGCTCAGATTTTTTTAACCCACTAGCTTCTAAAATCGCTTTTGTGCCCAGCCACCCTTTGTCGAATGGGACGACAAGTCTCTTCAACAAAAAAAAAGACCACATGAACAAGTTTTTTAATAGCAACCCGATTTGGATAATGGGTCAACTTACTCTCTAAAAGTGAACATAACTGAAGAAGCATCGTACTTTCCTTGAATGCCGTTTTTATTCACCACTTCCTCATTTGTTCGCGTATATTTTTATAAGGAGTGCATTAACGCAAAAACAAAACATGGGAAAGGTCTCCCTATCTCTCCTTTGTATTCACCATTCAAAAAAGGTATTTTTTAAATTAATCTAAGGTTATTTTCAATCAAGCCTATGGGCTTATCATTCTAAAGAAATATTCGTTTGAGCCTATTTAGTTCATTATCATAATGGTCTCTATCGGCTAGTCTTATATTCCGTATAATCATATTTTTTAAAACTCCATTATTTGTTTTATAACTATGGTTGTTCCAGTAAAGCCAATCGACTGCTGATCAAGAGGAACCCGCCATCCTATTCTGGTTGGATCGACCTCCGACTCTCTTCACCAAAGACCTACACTCGAAATGGAAATTAGCTCAATAAGGATTTTGAGCCATGGCTCCGTTCGGGATGTTACAAAGCTAATATTGAATTGGAAAAGTGTAGGGATAAGTCACTACATACCCACTAGAATTTTTTCTATATTACATTATACACTTACTTTTCAGACAATATGGAATATCTTAATTGATTTTCTTTAGGGTATGCTAGTAATACACCCTTAAACTACGAATGAGAATAAATAAATTTAGATTACACCTACCAATTTTATTTTGTTTTTTCTCCTAATTGATCAGGGGCAAAGGAAAAAAACGTCCTACATCTGCTATCCTAGGTTCTCCAGCACGAACATGCTCTCTTGCTTCTGCAACGGCAGCATCGGGAGCTGTATCCTCTGCCATCACCAATGCCGGTGTAAGCTCCTCCAACGTCCTCGTCGTGCCTGGTGGCTCAAGTGAGACAATTCATTCTTCTCGTCCTAGCGGTGCATTAGGCTCAGATTCTGACCCAACGGGCCCGTTAACCAAGCGTGCTTGTCTGGAACGGAGTGAATTCACAGGCGAA